ATCATCTGAGGAAGAGAGTAGCTGGGTCCCTGCCAGGCCCATGTCCTCCAGGCCCCTCCGGAAATTTCTAGCCTAAAACTCCACCTGCAAGTATTTTAGCATATTGTCGACAGCTTTTTAAATTTAGGAAACAAATGCAAAGGGGGAAAAAGCCAACTTAAAGCTGAGAAGATGGAAGTGGCCACGCGGAGATGCTCCAGCTGCTGCTTCGGGACCTGAGTGGCCTCCCTGGGGTTTATAAGCAGAGGAAGTTCTTAATACATGTGAGGAAAAAGCGAAGGAAATATTCACAGAAGGAGGAAGGCGAAGCTGAGGGGCTAATCAGGGAGGCCGCCTTTCCCAGGAGCTGCCAAAGCCATTCACAGTAGAGCTGGAACTAGAAGCAATGGGCAGAAGTTACTCAAGACAGAATTTAGCCCAATATCAGAAATAACACACTAAAAGTCAGAGGAGTCCAACAATGGAATGGGCTTCTTTTTCTGCTGTTGTCCGTGCTTTTACTTGTTATATCAAATAACATTCTCTTAACTGACATAGCAATAAATCAGAGGTAGAAATGAGAGTCAGCAAGGAAGAATTACCTCATAATTTGCACCTTGATGCTGGAGATGGAAAATGACCTTTTTTGAATTTTATGCAATCAGTTTCCTTTCATTTAACTTTATTATGGTCAGAAACGTCACATGAGATCCACCTCCTAGCAACGTGCTTGAGTGTATTCAGTATTGACTGTGGGTTCGATGTTGGAGAAATGACTTCTCTAGGAGTCGTGAATGGCCCTTGCTCAGTATTCATGTGAAGGTACAGCAAAGCCTGGATGGAGATGCGTCCAATGTGCAGTATCTATGGTGTGCCAGGCACTGAGAACTCATCAGTGGCCAAGACAGACTCAGTCCTCGTCCTCACTGAGCTGAAGACCAAGTAAGGGAGACGGCAGTGACAGGCCATCATCAGTGGTGCAAGTTCTGGGAAGAAATGTTGGGGAGCAATGAGGGCATGAGACACAGGACCTCACCCGGACCGCAGCTCATCCCTGTAAGGGTTACACTCGAGCTGAGCCGTCAAGGTCTCCAGGTAGGTGAAAGAAGGTGCTAGGACATTCCAGCAAGTGTCTCTTCCTCTTTTCAGTTGCCCCACCTGTGTGCTCACTGGTCAGGGGAGTTGAAAGAGAGAATCCTGAGTATTGAAGGAACAGACTGTGTTTTCTAACCTTAACATTCAAGAATGGGCAGAGATCCAAACAGCCTTTTTCTCTCCAATGTCCTCCAAAGCTTCCCCCATTCGCAGCAAGTGACCTTAAGAAAATGTCCCCAGAAGGCACCATTTGCCAAAAGGCAGGACCCACAGTAGCTCCTAAAATGAAGGCAGGCAGACACGCAGCAGAGAGGCTCCGGCAGAAGCAGGGGTGGAGGGAGGGCCCGGAGCAGGGGTCCGGAGCAGGGCCGCGGCAGGGACCTCTGCCTTCCATGGGTGCCCTCGGGGGACGGTCATGTTTCTCAGCATCAACCCTGTCCCCTAAAACATTATTTGTTAAAAAATCAGCTGAAAATATGAACAGAGACCACATCAGGATTTGGAAATAAGAAATATAAAAGCAGTGGGCCTGTTAGGCAGGGACTGGAGAGCATTTTTCTATTTAAATGTTGTTTTTTGTCATAAGAATAACAGGTTATAAGCTTGTGCCCACACCAGTAAGTGTGGAGGACTCACTCAACACATCTGAAAAGGCTAAATCAATGCTTCCCACGTTCCAGTCATTCACAATTTTTATCAGATCTGAATACCACCTGAATTATGATTATTAGGGAATGTTTTCCTTTAAATCTACCCATTTTTAAAGCTCGGTGCTTACTGAAATTTCCTCTTAAGTAATATATATGAAAATTCGTTTCTGATGCACCCATTATATTAAAATAAAAACAAAACCATTAATTTTTGTTTTCGTTGCTCCAAGTGCCCCCTGAGAAGGCCTTCTCTGCCTCCTGCTGCAGGGACTTTAATTTGGAAAATGCTGGGCAGGTCTTCCCCGTTCATGGCTTTTTCTCCCGCACACAGAAGTACAAGCTCATCAGGGCCCCAGGAGAATCCACCTGAGCCAAGGATATGGCAGAGGAGAGCTGGAAAGGCATGCCACGGCCCTGGTGCAGGCTCATGGCCCGGTCACCTTATGAAGCTGAACTCAAGACCCAGGGGGGGCACGATGAGAAATGCCCCACCTGATCTGCATCAGGCCTCACAAGAGCAGCCTCTCACCCAGCTAGCATTGATTGAAGGTTTCCTGACTTTGTTTCCTTCCTTTTCTTTTTCTTTAAATGAGAGACAAGACCTCACTGTGTTGCCCAGGCTGGTCTCGAACTCCTGGGCTCATGCAGTCATCCTGCCTCTGACTCCCAAGGCACTGGGATCACAGGTGTGAGGCACCGCACCCCAGGCTTTGTTTTATATCTGGCCATGCGCTAAAGAAAGTGGCCACGTGAAAAAGATCTTAAAAGTTCCGCTTAACCACGACACACAAGAAATTGTCAACAGTGGGACATGAAGCCCGAGTTCATGGCTCTTTCTCCCCCCCAGGTTCTTGTGTGTCTCATGTTGGGGGCATGAAATGAGTGAATACATGTTTGGGATTAGAACAAGGAGCAGGCCGGGCGCGGTGGCTCAAGCCTGTAATCCCAGCACTTTGGGAGGCCGAGACGGGCGGATCACGAGGTCAGGGGATCGAGACCATCCTGGCTAACACGGTGAAACCCCGTCTCTACTAAAAATACAAAAAACTAGCCGGGCGAGGTGGCCGAGGTGGCGGGCGCCTGTAGTTCCAGATACTCGGGAGGCTGAGGCAGGAGATTGCTCGAGCCTGGGAGGCTGAGGCTGCAGTGAGTAGTGATCGTGCTGCTGCACTTAAGCCTGGGCAAAAGAGGGAGACCTTTTCTCAGAAAAAAAAAAAAAAAAAAAAGAAAGATAGAACAAGGAGTGGTGCTGCAGAGTCGGGGCTCAAAACGAGGGTATGCATCTATTATGATCAGCTCAACCACAACGCCCCTCTGTCAGAAGTCACCCTCCAAGCAGGCAAAGTGGGGTTCTCAGAAAAGAGACTCTGTGCAGAAGGGGAGGTTTGGAATCATTAACACACGAATGATAAATCCAAACGACCCCTCGACACTGGACCAACCGTGTGCCCAGAATACGCTGTAATAGTTACTCCAGTCTTCACAGCAACTCCGTGGGAAGGTCCTTTCATTCACTCACTTGACAGATCAGGCTTTTCAGAGGGAAGCAGCGGTTGCCCAAGACCCCCACGAACAGGTCGGAACCGAGAGTGGAACCCACGCCTTTTGGCCCCAGAGCTCACGCTGCGGACAGGCTCTGTTCAACCTGAAGATTATTGGAAGAGTCGAGAAGTCTGGTGGGGGCTGAGGGGAACTGGAGACAGAAGCCCTGGGCCACCACGACTTAGCTCCAGCCAGCCAGAGAAGTCAGGAGAGATTTCTCCAGAAAAGCTGGAAATCTGTGAAAATTTCCTAGTTTTCAATGTTGACAGCTAATTTTAAAATTTTAACCCGATGCCCGTCCAACCGAACACAGCCACAGGCCAGAATCAGCTCAGAGGGTTCTCACGTGTGACCTCGGCGTGCAGACAAAACTTGTCCAGTAGCTTTGATTTCCCGCTGGTCCCATCCCAGTCTCCTGTCTCGGGTTCGTGATCTGTGATAGTCCCAGGCCTTGGGACCCCTGGCGCCTGCACCATCCTTGTCCTCAAATGAGATTGATTCCAGTGTGGCTGCTGGAGCTTTCGGGATGCCTGTACTCCCAAGAGAAGCTGTTCCCTAGAAACCCAGAAAAAGCCACCGCAGAGATGCCCGCGCTTCCCAAATCCAACGAAAGGAAGCAGCACACATTACTCTCCTGTCCTCCTCGCCCCGCCACTGAGCCCACGCCGAGCCCATGGTTGTTTTTCACTTTGTAAAAACAAATAAGCCTGGGATGTTTATGGAGCTGTTTGAACTCAGGAACAGCCCAAACTATGAGTTTGTAAACCTGACCGTGGTTTTGGGCCTCATAACCATTGCTCAAAATTCTGGTTTCCACAAAGCCCAAGATGTGTCCTCCCACATGTTTTTGCCTTGCTTAGCTGTTGTTTATTTTTACTGGAACATAGTCCGTATTGTCCTACAATCATGTACAATGAACTCATCACAGAAGGCCATCTGATGTCCTAAATGCCTCAGAGCTTCGTACAAGGCCTGCAGTCAGCTTTGTTCCTCCCTAGAAATCATAATTTTCTTTTTGCCTAGGAGAAAGGAACTTGAAGGCTCCAAGCTGGTTTGGATGGCAGAGAACAATTTCCCAGAAAATTTGCAATGTGGTCCAGACGTGCATTGCCTGAAGCCTAGATACGAGAGAGCAGGTTACACTTCACACAGTAAAAGCAAACGAAAGCAAGTCGATTCCCGGTGTTTCTTTTGCATCTCTGCTCTGTCCACGGCACAACGTTAGCCACAGGCCTGTGACCGCCTGCCAGGACAGGTCAAGCCACGGCCCAGCCCCTCTCGATGAATGTAAAAGAACCAAAACCAGGCATGAGTGTTCGAAGGTATGCCCTGCCCGCTCGCTGTCAACATCCCAGAGCCAGAAATCACACCGCAGGTGCCATGCCATCAATTTCCTTCCCAGAAACGCCGCGACCCTGTCCAGTCCCCCACTGTGACATTGCTGTATCCGTTTTTTAGGAAGGTTTTTTTTTTCCCCTCCTTTACAAGATTAAGTATTTTGATCTCACATCTCTGTAAGAGGATGTTATAACTTCCAGCCACCAGGACAAGTCTCTGCTTAGTAACCTCCTTGCCTGTATTCCTCCCTCCCCTGCCCTCCAATCCGTCGTTGACATTCTCACGCATTCTGCAATTGATGAGAACCTCAGGTTCACATCTGCCAGTTGCCAGAGGAGCAGGTGCTCCCTGATAATGAAATGCATGACAAAGATGCCGCAGGGATCAGCTACTCACCTTCAGGGCCACACTGCTCTGGCTTGCTAATGCAGGAGCTGTTGTACCTGCCGTAATAGAGAAGCGTGACTCCCTTTTCCTCTTTCAGGTAAATGCCTTTGTTGACCTTCCCTTCCACAATATCTAAGGAAGAAAAATGACAACATTATATGTTAATAACCTTCTGAGATTAAAAGTCTGAAGATGTGTGTCAGACCTACAAATAACTTATGTGTAAGTATGCGGTATTATTGATCTTTCTAATTATATATTTATAACATATATTATTCTATAACATGAATATTCATAGCATCAGTAATATTTAATTATTAGTAATTAAATTGTAAATAAGTTATGTGTATGTGTCAGGTAAAAATTTAACATTAAATAATATTAATATATTCGTACATAATATGCAGGTATTATGTACAAATATAGATTTCATATTTGCATATAGATTTCATATTGCATATCATATCGTATGATGATGTGATAATTGTGGTATTTGCCAACAGACGGGTTACCAAGCGTGGCGTGGCGACAGCCTCCTGTCCCGGAGTTTGACTATGCCTACCTGCTTTTCGAGTCCTCCCCACTCCCGTCCTCATGCTGAGCGTTCCAAGTGGAACATTTCAGTGCAAGTGTGAACATGGAACTACAGCTGAACTCCTTCTCCTTTTGAGTTTTAATTGAAATCCCCTGAACCTGGACAGGTAGATTTGGGATTTTAGCAGAACCCATTTTCAGGCACTAGGAGGAAAACCCCAAGTAACATTTTGCATAGTCCCAGGAGAACCTGCAGGTGACAAGCCCAGCTGGCCACAAATCCCGAGGGGCACTGCCCCGTCCAATCATCCTGTTGTGTCCCGTTCCCATGGCCAGGGGATCTGATGGTGAGGGTGTGGGGTAAACGGTTTACAGAATAGATAAGTGAAGACTATAAAAATCAGGAGTAGGCATTTATTGTTAACCGGGGTCACAGTCGCTCACAGATCTTTGCTACCACATGGGCTGGGGAGAATGTCTGAGCCCCTGGCAGCCGTCAGCCCAGCTGAAGACACACGGGAGAGCTAACAGGGTCTGCGGACCTGACCCCAACCCCAGCTCAGGCTTTCCAGCTACATTGTCACATGGATAACCAATTCAAGGGACCTCGGTGTTTTTCCTTACTGTTTTTAAACTCATTTTTAAATTTTATCTCATTTTTGCTGATGGAGACCTATGTATTGCAAGGTTAAATGGATCACTAGTGGTTGCATAATTGAGCCAGGCTGTATAAACCCCTTGACTGGCAACATTAATTTTGGAAGCCAATCTCCTTACAGTTGAAAGAGCAGACAGTTTCTGTGTTGAAAAGGATCACAGGGTAAGATCGACAGGGTCAGAACTAGCTACTACGCTGATCTAATAAATGCCTCAGTTGCTATTACCCCTTTTGCTTTGAGCTTCATGTTGAGCCATGTAGGCTCTGGAGGTTATCAAATAAGAAAATAATTTAACCATGATTCTCGTGGGTATATGTTTCACAAACAGCTTCTAACAATTTTTTTAAAGTCCAGCTACGGACGAAAGGCTGATTTTAATGTTTACAAGAAATCAAATGTTTGATGAGGTATTTTTTTAATTAACTTTAATTTTCCGTTAAAATGGCCTGCTTTCCTCCCCCAAAGAAGACAATTCATTGAAAAATCCAAACAAACTCTATGTTTAGAAAAGGTCTCATCTTGTGTCTGTTTTGTTCTGAAAACAAGCAGCTGGCTTAGAAGATCCTGGGAACCTGAAAGAATGTATATACCTTCTAGTGCAGTGGTCCCCAGCATTTTTGGCACCAGGGACCGGTTTCATGGAAGACAATTTTTCCATGGACGGGTTGGAGAGGATGGTTTGGGGATGATTCAAGTGCATTACATTTATTGTGCACTTTATTTCTATTATTATTATACTGTAATATGTAATGAAATAATTACACAACTCACCATCATGTAGAATCAGGGGAAGCCCTGAGCTTATTTTCCTGCAACTTGACAGCCCCCTCTGGGGGTGGTGGGAGACAGTGACAGATCATCAGGCATTAGATTCTCATAAGCAGCGTGCAAACTAGATCCCTCGCATGTGCAGTTCACAGTAGGGTTTGTGCTCCCAAGAGAATCTAATGCTGCCGCTGATCTGACAGGAGGTGGAGCTCGAGCAGTAACGCAAGAAATGGGGAGCAGCTGTAAATACAGATGGAGCTTCACTCACTCACCCACCACTCACCTCCTGCTGTGCAGCCCAGTTCCTAACAGGCTACGGATTGGTGCCAGTGTTACGGATTGGTAACAGGGACTGGGGACCCCTGTTCTAATGTATTGCGATCTTCCTTTAGACTTAACCCTAGTGGTTATTTTTTGACACCTTGGATCTGCTCTCTTGACTGGGACATTTGCTCACTTGCTAGCCAGGACATAGTGCATTCAGATACTACCAAACAGAATTGGCCTCAGAATTCATCGTAGATCCAAACTCGACAGAACGAAGAACAAAAGTACGTAAATGCTCACCTACGGTTGCAGAGAGATTTGAGTAGGCAGAGTCATTGGAATACACAAAGGTAGCATTACGGGAAGGAAGCACAGTGAGCTTGTGGGTTCGGGACGCTGGGTGAAACAACAAAAAGAAAAAGCACAGCGAGTGAGTGAGACAAAAGACAAATGGGACCAACATATCTCTCAACCTGCAGCAGCAGCAGGAGGATGATTCTTTCATCCAAGAGCACCTGGACTTTCTCTTTGGACCGCACATCTCCCGGCCTCCACCACCCTTGTTAACTTTGGTCAGCAGCTCGGCCACTCCAATGACCCCACTCAGCTCACACGCCAGGGCGTGATGGCTGCTGAACTTGGCCACATGTGATAGTTCTAATTTTCCAGCTTCAACCCCTATGCGGATACTTAGTTGAGAGATATGAAATTGAACTTGGCCACTTATAACACAGGCTCAACAAAAGGATGAATGGTTATGATGTCACAAGAACTGATGAGACACACACTCTGCATGAAAACAACTGCGTGAATGATGACAAATGGACAAAACGACGGAGAATTCGGCAACAAACGACAAAGCTGCACATCCTCCAAAGGCTTCCCAAAGCCATTCGCCTGTCCCCAGCAGCTAAATGTGCTGATGGGGTCGACTCTTTTCTTTTTTCCCTTAAGAAGCCTGTAATCAAATTGAAATATGCCAGCATCGCATTACAACCTAGAGAATGCATCCAGCAGGGAAGTGCAGAGAAACCTTCCACATTGCAGTGCTCCAGGACAAACACGGATATATTAGAGCTTTACTGGAAGTCGATACATTCAGGAAACAAAATGCAGCCACAGTGTGTAACTGTATCTGTAATTGTATCACCTTAAGAGAAGAATTTTTCATAGGTAAAGGTTTCAAAGCACCAAGAGTTACTGCTTTAAGCCACCACAGTGAGTTCAGGTATAGGGGTGAGGAGAGAAAGACACTGATAGTTATTCAAGCTCTTGTTTGAAAAAACTCCTGGCATTTTCATTGCTGGGTCCTGGAACAGTGAACTGTTTCAAGAAGACAACTCCTCTTGATGAAATGACCCCCTTTCCACGGCTTTAAAATAAAGGCCTTCGAAAAAGAAAACTAGAGGCCAACAAGAGAACGTGGTTTGTTTGAACCCGAACCGGTCATGAAACAAACTTACACAGGGGCTTTCTCTGCCCTGCCAGGCCAACCGTTTGGAAAAGACATCTGGCTCTAGGGTGGTTTCCAAATGTGACCATATTGCCGCCCTATAGGCAGGCGGATGAGAGCGATGCTGGGCAGGCAGCGCGTGTGGCACCCACGCAGGTGCCCTTCACGGAGTGCGTGCTCAACTGCACCTCACTCTGAGAACACCAGCAACAGAGGTAGCACTGATGGTTCTCAGTGTGCAAATTTTAAGGAAGCATTTCAGAAGCTTCAGCAGTAATGTCCAGCAACACATTAAATCATAGGAGTAAGGAAAATGCTAGTGTGCCAGTGTGGAAAGCACAGTCACCAGCAATACATGGTTTTAAAAATAAAATGCCTCCCACGGAACCAGAACAGGGACGACCAAAGCACATGCTAGGATTGCTGTACGGCAAACCCTCGCCGCACACATCAGCCATCTGACATGATCAAGAGCGATCAGTAAATAAAAATGAAATGGAAAACCGTCCTAAGTCATACAAAGCTTACAGTTTTTAAAAAGTCCTTATTAGAAAGAGAAAAAAAAAATACCCAGGAAGGTGTGAGGTTTCTCTTACCAACAAATGTCTGAATTAACTCAAACACAGACTATTTGGAATTGGGTCTCATTGGAAACGTCTTAGGTGATGCTTAATCTTTTCCAATGGAGCTGATGTGTGGAGAAGCTGATTGGTAGATGGGGATGCATTTGCTGAATGAAGCATAGGCCCTTCAAACACGTGAGTTGGTCTTAGTTGGCCTTTGACATCTGCTTCAGAGAGGCCCCTGCTGTGGCCAGCGTGCAGATGACGCCAGTCCATTCAACCTAGAAAATACACACCTGGACTTGCATATAGAGGCATCCTCAGGCCAGCTTCTGTTTCAAGGTTGTTGGGGGAAATGCACATTTTAATTATATTTTGAATCAGGAATTCTGCCATTCAATATGTAACAGCTCTCTCTATAAAAATTCTAGTAAAATACTTTGCGGCCTGGCACAGTGGCTCACACCTCTAATTCCAGCACTTTGGGAGGCCAAGGCCAGAGGATTGCTGAAGCCAGGAGCTTGAGACCAACCTGGCAACATAGCGAGACCCCATCTCTACAAAAAATAAAAAGCTTTGAAATAATTATTATGGGAAGTTACACAAGTATTTGTTCATCTCTATCACCCTGGCTTCGAAGCAGATTCTGTCCACATCTGTTCTCCTGATGGCCCTGGGATTCCCGGGCCCACAGCCGCTCTCAGCACCCATGTCCCTCAGTGGCCCTGGGTTTCCCAGGCCAGCCGCTCTCAGCACCTGCATCTCCTGATGGCCCTGGGTTTCCCAGGCCCACAGCCTCTCTCAGCACCCATGTCTCCCAATGGCCCTGGGTTTCCCAGGCCAGCCGCTCTCAGCACCTGCATCTCCTGATGGCCCTGCAGAGTTTCCCATGCCCACAGCCCTCTCAGCACCCATGTCCCTCAATGGCCTGGGTTTCCCAGGCCAGCCGCTCTCAGCACCTGCATCTCCTGATGGCCCTGGGTTTCCCAGGCCCAAGTCCTCTCAGCTACACCATGTCTCCCAATGGCCCTGGGTTTCCCAGGCCAGCCTCTCTCAGCACCTGCATCTCCTGATGGCGGTTTCATGCCCACAGCCACTCTCTCAGCACCCATGTTCCCAGTGGCCCTGGGTTTCCCGCCCACAGCTGCCTCAGGTGTCTGACCTCCGTTTGTGAGTTATGATCATCAATTTATTGGCCCAGTAATGGAAGCAGTACGCCAAGCTGAAAACCTTGGGAAAAGAATGAAACCGTTTTAATCATCAATTAGGGAGGAAAGAACTAAAGGGTAAGAACCGGCTTACGATAGCATTTATGGGGAAGAGTAAAAGGAGTCCACCTGGCTATGGTGAGAGTACTCTGAAGGCGTATGTCTAATACATTCAATACACACTCATTGGTTTGAAAAAGAAAACTCGTAATATTAGAAGCTGGGTAAATAGTTCCTTAACTGGACAAACAGGGTAAAATAGGAAATAGATGCTTTGTTGCATGAAAACAGAAGCCACTGCGGCTTACTGGTGGACACACTAGAAGCTTGACCATTCATGTCAGGAAAAGATAAGGAATGTCTCCATATCCTGGCTGTTATTATTATGTGTTTTAGAGTTAATATCTAATGCAATCCAACTCAGAAGAAAAAAATAAGGGTAAAACCATTTTAAAAGAGGAGAAAACTAACGATTGAATGGGGTTCCTGCCAGCACTTGTGTCCTCAACAACACTTCCTCATATTCATGTAACAATAATCTGTAAGAGAATTGAATTCTTAAGAGCCTATCTCGGAAAAGACAAGAACTGAAAGTCTTGCACAAATATCACACGCCAGCTCGTTGTGGACACAACACACACAGAGTAAGCCTTCCTCAATTTAGTCCCGGCCATTCATTTTCCCCTCTTATGCGTTCCTCCAGATTCACATTACTCAGTTCGAAAATTTCCTTCACGATCCTTTGTACTGAGAGTAAACATAACTTTATGCAGGTACGTTATTTTCTATTCTGGTCTTCTCTTTGAATGCTCTATTCAATTATTTCTTGGTTTCTATCTAGCCCTCATAATTTGACTTTGGGTCACATTCTCTTGAGTGGTCTGCCCCATAACAGGTGTCACCATTCTTCTGCTAATGGACAATCAATAGCTTCCATCCTTACTCGTACAGGTGGCACTGATATGAGTGGCTTATGCAACAATTTTAGCTTCTCTGGGATTAGTCTCCGGGATGCATTCCCAGAAATGGGAATAATGGTTAGATGACGCAACAATAATCAGCTGCCCCAGATGACTGCTAGATCATAGAAAAGTATCAACTAAAATCTTTATGTTATTCCTTTTGTTAAAAAAAAAAAAAAAGAAAAAAAAAAGCTGGGCGCAGTGGCTCACGCCTGTAATCCCAGCACTTTGGGAGCCGAGGCAGGCAAATCACAAGGTCAGGAGATCAAGACCATCCCTGGTAACACGGTGAAACCCCCGTCTCTACTAAAAATGCAAAAAATTAGCCGGCGTGGGTGCGGTGGGCCTGTAGTCCCAGCTACTCGGGAGGCTGAGCAGAGAGAATGGCGTGAACCCAGGAGGTGGGCTGCAGTGAGCCGAGATCGCACCACTGCACTCCAGCCTGGGCGACAGAGCGAGACTCTGTCTCAAAAAAAAAAAAAATAAAGCGTTTTTAAAAGAGGAGATAATAAGATCATTATTTTCAAATGATGTATGCCTGATAACCAAAGTGGAAAACTATTACAAATAAGAAAAGAATTTCGTAAGCGAAACACTATTACAAACAATAAAAGAATTTAGCAAGGAGGCTTGTACAAATTTAATATACAAATGTCAATTGCCTTTCTGTATTCCAACAATAATGCTACAAAAAAAGAAGAAAAGTTCTCATAAGTGCAGCCAACAAAAAGAAAATATTTATGAACACAAGAATAAGAATTGTACAAGATTTTCATGAAGAAAGCAAAAAATAACAATTCTGAGGGATATGAAAGAACCCTTGACTGCATGAAGGATTCAACCCACTGGAAAAGCCGACTCAATGTCATCAACTATCCTTTAGTCTATGCGTATTAGGAAATCTGTTGTGAAAATGCTGAGAGAATTTCTGTGGGGGAGATATACAATTATGGAGTTTATATAAAAAATAAGCAAGAAAATCTGGAGAAGAAACAGAAGAGGATAAAGAGAGAAGATTCACACTCACAAGGATAAGGCACAGCATAAAACTACAGCCATGAAGATGGCTCATTGCGACACACAGATACACAGTTCAGCGGGAGAAAAATCCGCAAAGACGCCTACGCACCTACGGAAATTTAGTCTGTGATAATGGTGGTCCTTTATTTTTTATTTACTTATTTATTTTTTGAGGAGGAGTTTCACTGCTGTCGCCCAGGCCACAATGCCGTGGCGTGATCTCGGCTCACTGCAACTTCTGCCTCCCAGGTTCAAGTGATTCTCCTGCCTCAGCCTCCCGAGTAGCTGGGATTACAGGCGCCCACCACCATGCCCGGCTAATTTTTGTATTTTTAGTAGAGACAGGGTTTCACCATGTTGGCCAGGGTGGTCTCGAACTCCTGACCTCAGGTGATCCACCTGCCTCGGCCTCCTAAAATGCTGGGATTATGGGTGTGAGCCAACGTGCCTGGCCCCAAAGCTGGTCTTTTAAATTAGAGGAGAAATATTATTCAACAAAGGCATTGGAACCAGTTCACCACCTGGAAAAAATTAAGATCCCAACCTCACTCTTTATACCAGAACAATTTTCAGATAGATCAAAATTTCCATGTAATAAAATAAAACACAAAAGCTTCTGCAGAAAACAGGCTATACATGTGACAACATACCTTTTTAAAATTTCTGTGCAGAAAGAAAAACATCAAGCAAAATCAAAGCGAGGAGTGTTGTTTATGTAATACATATTACAGAAGGGTACTGATTTCTTTTTAGAGGTATTAAACGATTATATTGGTAAACGATTATATTGGTAAAACTCCTACTATTAAAAAGAACCAACCGAATATTGAGGCAAAGGAGATAATCAAATAGTTTAATGAAAAAGAAATAAAAATTATGTATAAATATATCAAACGATGCCCAACCTTGCTCATAAGTTTTAAAAGTATATTAAACAACAGTGAGCTTATCAGAGTTCACCCATCAGACTGGCAAGCAGTAAGTTAGCTATACCAAGCTGGCAACTTCCACCACATTTTTGATGAGAGTTCAAATCAGTACACCCCTTCTGAAGGGTAATTTGGCAATATCTATCCCAATTTTACGTATATATTCCCTTTGATCTAGTAATTCCACCCCTAGGAATTTATTCTAGAGATACACTCACACATATGATCAAAACCCTCTATGCAAAGGCTTGTTTGTTGCAGAATTTTTTAATAGTATCAGAAACCTGAGAACAGCCTAAATGCTCATCTACAGAGAGCTGGCTAAATAAATATGGTACATCTACGCTCTGGACTGGAATACAGCTGGGACGAATACTAAGGTTCATCAATGCACTGAGACAGCATGTTTTCATTGATATTGTCTAGTTTTAAAAAATTAAGGTGGTAAAAATGTGTATACTATGAGCTATTTGTGTAAAATATAGTTGGTTCAGGGCAGGCATGGAGAAGAGAAGAGGAGAGAGAAGAAGAGAGAGATGTCTGGATAGATACAGAAACCAATACTGGTGTTTTGGGAGTGAAGAAATCGAAAAACTGATTGCAAGGTGTAAGAAGAAGATTCATGTTGCATTATCTTCCTGTTCTATTTGAATTTTTCAATCTGTATTCCTTTAGAAATATTTTAAGGCTTGCTTTCACAACCGAAGTGTCATAGGTAGTTAGGAGCATACCACCATTTTCAGATAAGAACTGATACACCCCATCTAATATCTGAATTTTTGTCCACAGGGTGCCAAACATCCACACACGTCTCGTTCATTGGTTCCACTTTTCAATTTGCATCTGTCCCTCCAGTTTTATGTACACAAGTTCAAAATGTAAGGCAAGAACAAAGTTAACTCTGTAACATGAGCTAAAGAGAAGTACCTAAACAATAACTTCAGGGTCTTGTCACTCTCCAAATAAAATAGCCCTATCTAAATAAAGTAGCATGTTAGAAAGCAAGGCCCGACTTCAGCTGATTTCCAGTGAGGATAGTTCTACTATTGTAATGCAATACGAAGAATCTGAAATGCAAAAATCAAAAATAATCATTTTCATTCCTACTGTGCTTTTTTTTCCCCCTAAAATCTAGGATATTCATTTTGAAGAGGACAAAACCTCATTGAC